CTTGTAGACCTTGTACAGCTACCTTGTAGACCTTGTAGAGCTACCTTGTAGACCTTGTAGAGCTACCTTGTAGAGCTTCACTAGGCCAGGGTTCGGGCTCGGTGTAATTCGTGCACCCGTGACCTGTTAGGGAGAGATATATTTGTACCATATTCACACGCGTGGGTCCTAAAGAGGGACAGGTCAACCGACATTGCTGTGGCAGAAACATGTAAACCCTTAAACTCTTCAAGCAACGAACAAGTCAGTCAATACTATGATCAGCTATGGCGAATGCAATAGTACAGTTATCTCTCCTCCCTAAACTTCATGGTGGAAGATGTTTGTGTCACGCACCTGCTTCAACAAGCCCGTTCACAGACCACGCCAGTACCACCATCTGCACTGCAAAATATTTGTTGAGTGTATTTTAAGTGCAAAGATATATAAATGATGCAATAAAATATAAATGCCTGTTTGTTTTAATATTGTGCGCCGCTGTTAACAGGACAATTAGTTGATCAACATGCCTACCTTGTCTTACCAGCAAAGTCACTCATCCTTGACTATATCTGGGTTGCTTAATTGCTACTTTTCACCAGTTTTTAAAATAAAAACGAAGCAGGTTTATACCACAATGTATGAATGAGCCTTTCTACTTACCTGTGAAACTATATTATATTTACAAAAACTCTGCTCACCCGTGTCGTCAGTCATAAATTATTCGTGCCATACAGACCTCAATGTGTTTGACAAGTCATCTGGCGTCTACCTACTTTAACAGGCCATACACAAGGCTTAGCTTCAGTGAAGGTGGAAACAACACACAGGACATGTCGACACTAGAAGAGGCCAAGAAGGAGATTGTCAAATATGATTATGTTAGGTTTTCCCTGTGTGACTTGAATGGTGAACACCGTGGTCAAGTTGTCGCTGGCCGTCATGCTGCCAAGTACCTAGAAGAAGGGATTGATATACCTCAAGGTAAACCATCATAATTTACTCGTTCCTATTCTCATGTGGACCATACAGAGAAATAAAACTGAACGAAATGTCAAAGCTCTGTTTAAACATTAACACCCAAAACGTCAAATAAAGATGCAATTCTTGATAAGTGTGCGAGGTTATACTTGTACGTCAGTTAAACATAACAATGCATGTGTCCTTGAATGAAATCATCTTTTATATTCGAAAGATTATATATTCTATATATGTCTGTTATTTTTGTACTCGTTTTTTTTCATCAGGAACTTAATTGATGTCTTCATACTTGTGTGAATAACACATACATTAATACAAATCTCTGTGAATTTTTTACCAGTACAGTGCCAATGTCTGTGTATCTAAAGTTATTAAAATTTCTCCCAAAAACTAATTTATTAACAGTATTTAGAACAATCTCTTTAACATTTTTTGAGAATTGTCCTAATTAATTTTCTGACGTGTTATTTTAATATGAAAATAACATCTTATGAAACAAAGTTGAGACTTACTGATATGTCAGCAGGAACACATATGAACACCCACCTGTTAACATGTAACCGGACCGGTGAAAGGCATAGCTGTAAGGCCACATGTTGAATTATTTATTGATTTAAGGAGTAATGAGGTAAGGGGGAATGGGTTTTAACGTCGATTTCAAGATTATTGTACTTATATATAGCGACGTGCATGCACGTTTGTGTATGTTGTGTGGCTGCTTGTACTAGTTCGGACTAATGCCGACTTTACAGTGCCAGACAACTAAGATCCCATGTCGCAGTTTAACATGAATACTCCACTCAGACACAGTATACTGACTCCAAGCGAACAAGTCCTTGTTTAATCCCCTAAGTGCCGAGTGTCAGGCAAGGTTACAACAAGTTGTTGGTTGGTTGGTTGGTTTGTTGTTTGCCGCCGCACTCAGCAATATTCCAGCTATATGACGGCGGTTTGTACATAATCGAATCTGGATCAGACAATTGAGTTATTAATATCATGAGCATCGATCCACACAGTTGGTTGGTTGGTTTGTTGTTTTACGCCGCAATATTCCAGCTTTATGACTGCGGTCTGTACATAATTGAGTATGGACCAGACAGTCCAGTGATTGACATCGTTTAGCATCTATCCACAAAATGTGGATCGTTGACATGCTTCAACCAAGTCAGTGAGCCTGACCAGCCGATCCCGTTGGTGGCCTCTTACGACAAGCATAGTCGCCTTTTACGGCAAGCATGGGCTGCTGAAGAGCTATTCTACCCCGGATCTAAATGGGTCGATTACAACAAGTACCATCTTTTAACGTCTTTGTGTATGTCACGGCCTGGGATCTAACCTCCGACCTTTCGCTCTCCATGTGGACGTTCCACCTCCAGACCAGGATAGTTTGTAAACTCAAAGTGATGAGTATTATCGAAATACATCAAATGATCAGTCCATTGATACAGGAGGATCGATATCTGAGCAGGGAGCTTATAAAGTTAATGAGTATTCACCTTACAAATACATTGTCTTACTGAGGTCTCCTATTTCTTTCAAAATCATATATATATATAAATATGTGAATAGATCAGACTATTTCACACAAAACGAAAATGATCCAGTTGCTGTGTAAAAACATAAAGTCTTGCTAAACACGGTGGGGCTGGTACAATGACTCTTGATAGTTATACATAAACATATGCGTATTACATAGTCTACTTTTAGCAGATGGTATCTGAAAGCGTTTGACGTATTTTTATACGCATGGCAGGGTTTTGTTAGATGATTTGTTAACAGGGATTAGAAGAACGTTCAACAGTTGCTGGTGAATGGGAAAAGCCGGTGCCAGTGTCCCGGGCTGCCACGTTACTGTTAACCGTTTCATAGGGCAGTGTTGCAGAGAATGTGATTGGGAGTCAACTACAAGAGAAATGTTTGGGCCGAGACATTAAAACAGGCCACAGCTGTGTTGCAAAGCGAATATATTTCTTAAACGATTTACTTACTTATAAGTAGCAACATCTCTGCACTTGTACACAGCACACGTAATTCAAATCGTGTCTATTAGTTTCAACACCACCCGTAAATACCTACGGGTCACTGGATTTTCTGCTCCATCGATCACTTCATTGTCTTGTTTGTTTACACGCCACCGTTGCATGACGGAGTACTGCTGTGCGGCGTCAGGCTATAAATACTTCAAACATTGAGTGTACCCCTGAAGATCTCGGGGTAGATTCCATGCTTGCCGTAAAAGGTGACTCTGCTTGTCGTAAAAGGCGACCAACGGGATCGGGTGATCAGGCTCACTGACTTTGTTGATTGATTGATGGTGCATGATATTATCACTGGATTGTCTGGTCGAGACTCGATTATTTACAGACCACCGTCATATAGCTGGAATATTGCTGAGAAGGGCGTTAAACAACAAACCAACTAACCAATCAAACATTGAGTGACCTTCGTAAATTTGAATGACATGCGCACCCTTTTCGCGAACACCTGGTGTCATCGCTGTCGGTGGTCCTTTCATATAATTTTCACAGCTGGTTCGCCCTTTGGCGATTTATATGGGCCATAGTACAAAATGTTACATCTCTATCGATCTCATTTTAAATCATTCACATAAATATAAAGCTATCAAGCGTAGTACATTAATATCAAAGAAAGTCAATAAATTTGCAAGTGAATATATTTCTTACATCCAAAAAAAACATTAGTACAATCTCTATAAAATGAAGGTCACATACTGAACGTCATAAACCTTTATACAATCAAGGAAGGACTTTCTTTATATTCACAGAAAGTATTTGAGACAAGTGGAATTAATACCATGTGGATTCCGAAAAAACTCAAAGGATTTGCTTGACTTTTTGCAATCTCCGAAAGATTCATTCTGTCCCAACACTTGATTTTTCAACAATGTACACCACTCCCCCACATGACAAACATCATGCCTTGATCCATGGGGCTTTTGTTACAAAACGTGATGTACTCAGATACAGTTACATATCTTTATTCAGAGGTTCAGGACAATTTGAGAAAAATGAAAGCAAATGCCATCTGAAGTTTACTGAGAAAACAATATGTAAAATGCCTGACTTCTACATCTACATAATATCTTTGGGGTAAGACATTTAGGCAAGAATTATGCATCCCCATGGGCACCAATCGTGCCCCCCTTTTTGCGGATATGTTTCTTTATGCATATGAATCAGAATTTCTGTTCGTATTAGCAAAGTCAAAACAAGGTAATTTGGCCAAAATGATCTGATATCGTTCAATAACAATCAAATGGCCGATTCCTTTCCGCCGATTTGCCCACATGAACTACAAATAAAGAAGACCAGTGAGACCCCCCCCCCCCCCCCCCCCCTCCTCCATCTGTTTCATATTTAGACCTATCCATGGAGATTCAGAGTGGTAAAAACTGTCTACAAGACTTTATGACAAGAGGGATGACTTCAACTTTCCAATAGTCATCTTTCCCTTCATGTCGAGCAATATTCCAGCAGCTCCAGCCTTTGGTGTTTACATTTCGGAACTTTTGAGGTACAATCGAACGTGCTCTTTATACCAAGATTTCAAAGAGCGTCATACAACTCTTGCTCAGAAGTTGTTTGATTAAGGTTACACTATTTAAGGCCTCAGTAAAGCTTTGAGAAAGTTTTATGGTAGACATTTCCGAGGACATTGTTTTTGCAGGTGACCAATTCACTTGCCTTTGCATGTGTTTGTGGCGATACAACCGGGGGCAGGATAAGCTCACAATTTTTCGAACACTTGTTATCATCACTATTTGACAATGATTCATAAACGCATGCTCTAACTTTGAAAGGAGTATCCACTTGCATTCATTCGCAAAAGCTTAATCCAGTACTCAATAACCCTTATTTGCGTCTACAATAACGTCCAGTTTCACGCTGAAAAGCTTTGTTTGCTGCAAATATACCCACACTAAGAAAACGTATAAAATATCATGTTTTGTATCTCTAAATCTGTTATTTCTGAACAAATTAAAAACTGGCCCTATTGCCTAATGTGCATGCATGGGAAGAGTTCCGCATGCTTTAGACCATCTGATCAGGGAGGAAAACATTATTCCAAGATATGTATAGTACGTTACCGACTTTATCTTCACATTATCCAGTGTCCATGCTTCAGACTGGATCATTATTCCTCCATTTATTCCTCTATAAATACAAGAACGTTTGGTTTATCAAGAGTGAGTGGGTGAGTGAGTTTAACTAAAGTCACATCGGCAATATTTCAACCATAATGTGACTTAAACAAGTTATACAATATTTATAAAAAACTGTCGAAGAAGGACAGTATAATAACTAGCAATATATCACAGATTGAAATTATCTGATCATGGGGATACGACATGATATAAAAATGGGGCTATAGATCAAAAGCAACAAGGTAAAGGTTTATCAAGAACACAATTTGGTCACACAATCCCCATTTTAAACAATATGTATTTAAAATATCTAGCTTTCTCTGCAAGTCCCAACAGTAATCGAGAAAAGTAGAACGTCATCGGCAAAAAGGTGTTACCTCAGATCTTCAATATTTTGGGTAACAAATATACCATGATCACAAGCAGCATACATTTCTAGTACAAGCTCATTAATAAAGAATATAAATAAGACAGGGCTCAAAACGCAGCCTTTTCTTACCCCACCATGTGTTTTAAAAATAAGTTTTAAAGCTACCAATCTTAACACCTGCTTTTACAGATGTATGCATACTTTTTAACAGATTGTACATTTTACCATGGCTTCCCTTTTTTAGGAGTAAAAATAGCATTTTTTTCCTGTCAACATAATCAAACGCCTTTCTGAAATGAAATCTTACCTATCTATGTCAAGATGACATTTTAAATAGGTTAAATACAAAACATCAACGTAAAGGAATGATCTGTCTCAATTATATGCCATAAAAGACTCCATTGGGCGTAAAAGGCAAAATAGTGATACACATTATATGTTTGATTCACTGAAATCAGTGATGACAGCAAGTGTACGCCAATGTGCAAATGACAAAGCACTTCGAACTTTTATTGCGTATCTATTTGTATGTTTTTGATTCACTGGATTTAATAAGTGGATTTCATGTCACATCAATCAAAAGATATCATTATTCTTGCAGCTATTCTAAGAGCAGTCCCGAGGAAACCCTACCCTCGAATTGACCAAGAGAGAAACTGTCGCAAGGCTATGATATATCCTGATCTTGACACCCTCAGACCCATTCCTTGGGCAGAGGACGGGGTCAAAGTCGCTCAGATATTGTGCGAATCCCGGTGGAAGAAAGACAACTCTCCCCAAGAAGCATGCCCCCGATATGTCGCCAGAAAACAGCTGCAGAGATTGGAGCAACAAGGATATGCTTTCTATTCTGGCTATGAAATAGAATTTAATATTCTGGAAAAAGAAACCATGACCCCAATATTTGAATGTTGGAATATGTTCAGCCAAAGAATATTCAACAAACACAGCAAACTTCTATTTCATTTTGACAAGAACTTTAAAGAATCAAACATTGATGTGGAAAGATACCATACTGAAGCGGGACCTGGGATGTTTGAAGCCATTTTGAAACCAAAATTTGGCATAGAATGCACGGATATGACCATGAACATAAAAGAAGGACTCATGGAAATGGCAGCAAATTTGGAACACCATGTTGTCACTTTCATGGCCTTTCCTCTCTCTGAGAAAACCCCGATAGGAACTAACATTCATCTAAATGTTTCACTTTGGAACAAAAATGGTGAGAGTTTGTTCTACGATGCGTCTGCTCCAGATAAGCTGTCCGTCATCACCAGATACTGGATTGCTGGTATGCTGAGGCACAGTAAAGCTCTATGTGCCCTCTGCAGGCCCACTGTCAACTGTTACAGGGCCATCTACAAGCCTTTTTGTCCATCAACTATATTCTGGGGAATAGAACATGGAGAAGCAACCATACGAGTAAAGAATGAAAGTCCCTCTAAGACATACATAGAGAACAGGCTTCCGAGTGGCAAGTCCAACCCGTATCTTGTTGTGGCGTCGACCATCGCCGCTGGTCTGGATGGGGTCCTCAACAAACTAGAGTGCCCGCCCGCGGGAAGTGTCGACAACGCCGAGACTCTCCCTCACTCTCTGGAGGAAGCTCTGGAGGAGTTGGAAAAGGATGATGTACTCGTCAGCGCCCTTGGCAGTGAGCTCGTCACATGGTTTGTCAAGTGCAAGAGAGTTGGAGAGATTGACCTGTTCAAAGATGCTAAAACAGATGAGGAAAAGGTTGCATTGGAGAAAGAGTGTCATCTTCTGTGAATTTTGGCCGAAAAAGAAGCTGACTGAACCTCAAGTTAAAAATCTTGTTTTATCAACATTATTTGTATTTGCAGTCTAAAAGAAACTGCTTCTTTCGTAATTTGACATTTAATTGTTGAGACCAATTAAAATGACAATCATATTTCAAAATTTGAGTAGGGGGCATGGGTAGCCCAGTCGTCTAAGGCGCCGCGATTCGTTGTGCAGAGGTGCGTCCCTTGGGCACGCCAGAAACCTATGATTGTGGGTTCGAATCACCGAAGTGGTAAACGTCTGAGACCTGCATCACCTCGGGCTTTCCTCCCACATTAAGCTGACACGCCGCGACATCCCTGGAATACTGTTAAAAGCGGCGTTAAACCAAACCCACTCAATCACTTAACATGTGAGTGCAGGGCTGATTTTATCTTATGCATATAATACCTTAGAAGAAATACTGTATTGATCAAACATTTATTAAGTTGAGAAAGTATTGAAATTAGATTGAAATATGATTCTGTTATTTTGTTTTGTTCTGTCGTAAACAGTCTTTCATATACCTACTCAAACAGTTTTAAGTATTTTGTTTGGTATTGTAATAGATTTCATTTTCGCACTCAAATACGTTTCGGTGTGTAAGGGCTGTGGTCAGAGGCGCGGCTCTTGACGTCATTGTCCTTATTTGTTTCCCTCAAATTGAAACAGAGGCGGTTGGAGTTGTAAAAAAACACGACTTAATGAGTTGGATTTGACGCCGCTTTGTACAGTATTTCAGTGAGTTCAGGGCGGATCAGACTAATGTGAGATATCCTCAGTCCTAAGTAGCGCAGGTCGCACATGTTTACCACCTTTGTAAACTCATGATCATGATCGAGACCTGACTTATTTAAATTCCCAAAGAAAAATTAACCACTTTAATTTTGATGTTTGTTTGTTTGTTGTTTAACGCCGCCCTCAGCAATATACCAGCTATATGACAGCGGTCTGTAAATAATCGAGTCTCCACCAAACAATTGGTATACGATGACATGTGTCAACGCAGTCAGCGAGCATGACCATCCGATTCCGTTAGTCGCCACTTACGTCTTCATGGGTTTAATTTTGATGACTAAAATTGACATATGCGTACACAAATTTGCATCGTTTCATTAATGAACATTTTTACTAAACGTTTAACCTAAATGATAGCAAGAAAACAGAAGTTGTCAATGCGACAAGAGAATAACCAAAAGTCCATTTTGAAACCAGATGAATACAATATAACGTCATGTCATTGACACATTTTAAAGGGTCACAATATGGCAGAAATGTTACCGATACTTAAAAAGTACGTCACTCTATCAACTGTGACATGCCCCTTGTGTTCTACTTTGTTGAACGCCGTGGTAAGTGGAATAGTGTTAAAAACGGCGTTAAACCCAACTCACCAACTCACTTCTTTGTTGAACTGTTGGTTGAGTGAAACAAGTGACAGTGTAGGGTCGTATGTCTCTTAAAGAAGTGACTGATGCTTTTAGCCACAATCAGTAAGTTAATATCAAGAACTGTGCAGAGTTGCGTCCCTTAGTTACGCAAGAGACCTATTATTGTGGGTTCGTATCCCGGTTTGCCCTGTTTCTAGGTTTGTCAGCACCATACTCGTGCTCGAGGGTTTCTCCGATGTGGTAAACGTCTGAGACCTGCATCACTTCGGGCTTTCCTCCCACATTAAGCTGACACGCCGTGATATGACTAGAATACTGTTAAAAGCGGCGTTAAACCAGGCTCACTCACTCACTAATATCAAGAAACCCTGAAAACAGTTACTAGTGGTTGACTGAATGGACAACCTGTTCTGGCATGATAACTAAAAAGTACCCAAGTCACATTCGTCCGCCTGATCCAACCTGTGCTTGTGCGGAAACTAATGAGATCGAGTGGTCAGGTTCGATGACTTGTTTGATGCATGTCATTCTTTCTTGCGTAGATCGATGCTCATGATTTCAATCATTGGATTGTCTGGTCAATATCCGAGTACTTACGGACAGCTATAATATTGCCGAGAGCGGCGTTTAACAACACACAGACAATGTCTGATACTCATCAGATGGCTAAGGGTCGATAGGCAAGTGAGAACAAAGGCCAAAACCTCCTTTTGTGGTTATAGGTTGGTTGGTTTGTTGTTTAACGCCGCACTCACCAATATTCCAGCTATATGACGGCGGTCTGTAAATAATCGACCAGGACCAGACAATCCAGTGATTAATATCATGAGCATCGATCCACGCAATTGGGATCTATGACATGCATCAACCAAGTCAACGAGCCTGACCACCTGATCCCGTTAGTCGCCTCTTACGACAAGCATAGTGGATTTTTACGGCCTATTCTACCCCGGATATTCACGGGTCGATGTGTGCAAGAAGTTGATGGACAATGCAAAAAATGCGAGGTACGTATCATCGTCCGCGAGAACAAAGGGTAGCGTTCAAACAATTCTTCAGATTCAATTCACAGTTTGCACTTATGTCTGGAGCTAGTGGAACATTATACAATATTGAACCGCATGACGTTTACTTGAAAGTTATAAGATGAAAATGAATAACGCACTTGTTCTTGCGCATGAAAAACAGTTTGAAACCGCTAATATTCTGTATCCTTACATGAAAACTGACATTCGTCAAGCCAGTATCAGTGCATCACAGGTGACTTACACATTTGACAACTTGTTTCTGGACCAGTGCCCGTCCCGACTTGTTGCATTTGCCAGAGGTGAAGGTGTGAATGGGTCATATACCAAAGGCCAATTCAATTTCCCAGGATCCAACATTAAAACAGTGGGGTTGTATCTGGAAGGGGTCAGTGCCCAAGGATATCCCGTGGAGGCAGACAATATTGAAGCCTATGTCAACTTGTTCGAGGGTACCAACACATGGAGAGAGGACAAGGGAAATTTTATTCAAAGAACAGAGTTTCAGTTTGGCAACGCCCTATTCGTCTTTAATTTAGAACCGCTGTCTATCGACGACAGTTACCTCAACTTGGTCAAATCAGGCATTCTCAGACTCGAAGTTCTCTCGATCTAATAGCTCTGTCGACCAGCTCCGCAATGTTCGAAATGGAACCTTTCTATTTTAAAAATGACCAGGGTAAATCTTTTGATAGTTGAAAAAGCACTCAGCAACATTTATATATAACACAAAAGTTCTTCAGCAGTCTATATCGAGTGTGTGTGGATTTTATTGTTTGTATTATATTATCACTTAGCAAAATAGTGACAACCTTTACAGATGATAAGCTTCACAATGATCGTTATGTATCAAACTACATTTATCGTTATTTCAAATACTGTTTCAGTGTATGTAATATACTTAATAAAAGTATTTCATCTTTTTTATTGTGATCGTGTTTTCAGCCTAAAGTGAGACTTCATGAACAACATACCATGTTCTAACCCATTACAACTCACTCACTCACTCACTCGTCTGAGAACTGGTATTACCAGGGGACTTTGTACCATCTATATTCCCTGAGACTGAAAAAAGAAAATGTTATGAAACTGCACTCTGTTGGAGTTTCCATCATTTAACTAGCAACTACGACATGAGTAAGGTCTACTTCTTGAAGATCGTCTGCATTGAACCCCATGGTGTGTCTGCCAGATTTCAATTTAACAGAGACAAATGACATTCAAAGATTCTTAACTTGTGTTTTTGTCTAAAGAAGCGTGAATAAAATCGTCAAAATACTCCGCTAACGTGGCTATACCAGAATGTTTTGGTGGTCCAAGAGCCTTTATCTATAACACAGAGGGCATCTCAGAATACTTCTACCAATCTACATCAACAGCATCAATTGGGACTGATCTCATGGAACACAGAACTTGAATTTAGCGATATACATAGACAAGTTGTGTGTAAATTAAATGAGATTGATTTAATTCGTCATATTATATTATCAACAATAGAGAGAGAGAGAGAGAGAGAGAGAAAGAGAGAGAGAGAGAGAGAGAGAGAGAGAGAGAGAGAGAGAGAGAGAGTATGTCCCTGTTGGATATAGTCCATTTACGAAAATGTTGGAGAATATCAATGGTCCTGATACGTTCCTTCCACAAGTGGGTTTTGGTCACAAAAATCTTCAAGTTCATTCAATCATAAAAAGGGTATGTAAACAAGAAACTCAAGTTCGATGTCCCCGGAAAGAGCGAGAAGATTTCTAAATACTGTTCGGGTGGCCCAGTCGTCTAGGGCGCCGCAATTCGCTGTGCAGGGTTGCGTCCCTTGGGCACGCCAGAAACCTATGATTGTGGGTTCGAATCCCGGTACGCCCCGATTATGTTTCTAGATTTGTCAGCACCATACCCGTGCTCGTTGGTTTCACCGAAGTGGTAAACGTCTGAGACCTGCATCACTTCGGGCTTTCCTCCCACATTAAGCTGACACGCCGTGATATAACTGGAATACTGTTAAAAGCGGCGTTAAACCCAACTCACTCACTCACTCATTGATTTATAAATCACATAAAAAAAACAATGTGAATTATCTCCCTTGCACTGTTAAGCAAGTCATATTTACTTAGAGAATTCTAGGAATGAGAAATGTAATATAGAGTTATCGCGGGTACTGCCAACGATGTAATTGAGGAAACTGAGGCGGTGAGGATTTATTACCTGTAAAAATATATAAATGACATCAACATGAATTGCTGAGTCGAGGAAGAAAGAATATCTTCCCTCGGCAATAGCGTGACATAAAAGTCAAATATAATTACGTTGAATAGTGTGGTACAATATAATATTCAAACTCTGTTACTTTATATACTATAAATGTAGCAATAAATGTTTTCGGCGGCACACGTTAGGTGTGACGTCACCACATTATATACAAAGTACCATTTTTATGATCTTTTATGTAATAATAAAATATATATACATGATTGAACAAATGGAACTTAAGCAGATCTTTCACTCACAATCTTACTTACAGGATGGTGCTTTAACTTAGTGTTTGAATTAGTAATCTTGTGCAATGTGATGCCTTTAGACCGAGTATGATATTCACAATTTACTGCGTTTATGATTTAGTTTCTACAATCGCGTTACCTATTCTATTGACTAGACTTTCATAAAGAAAGTAGATAGACAAGGGTACATACCTGTAAACATATATAAATGACATTAGCATGAATTGATGAGTCGAGGAAGAAAGAATGTCTTCCCTCGGCAATGGCGTGACATAAAGTGGCATTTGAAAGTGTCCACGTCACTCCCCAGGT